CAGCGCAGTAAGAGGCCATGCTTTGAGGGGGTGATGGTGTGGTCGCACCTACTCTTCCTTTCTGTTCATCTGCTCTCTCCATTCTGGCTCAGGCCTGGTGCCACAGACCTGCCGAGTGACAAACTTAACAAAGACCACAATAGAAACAATTAGTCACAGAGCAAGAAGAGACAGAGATCATGGCTTGTGAAGCACGTTGTTTGAGTTCATTTGGAAACATGATGGAGAAAAAAAGCATCTGCAGAGTAATACACCCCATTTACAGGCATAAACCCGTGTGATTTTTCTTTTTTCATGGCACTCAAAAGTTCTTTCCATGTAATGAATATTGCACTATATTCCAAGTCTATGTCATTTACTTTAAATAGGAACAGATTATTTTTCTTGACTTCATGCCATCACCTGGATTTTACTGGTCTGTTACTTCCTTGAAATCAGGAGCAATCTAGTATCAGTTAATTTTCTTGTGTTTTTAATGCATATTGTTCTACTTTTTTGAGTATTTCCATTTAGAAATTGCTAGTCAATTTCACAAAGAATTACAAAGAAATGACAATTAACACTTATTAAACACACATTTAATTCAATAATTAAACATCAAATTTTGAAATAGAGAGACTGAAATAGCATGAAACATACTCCAGTAATCTTTGCTTTACTTAGAACTTGGCTAAATAATGTTTACAGTTTATAGAGACCAGACGTTGTGCCGTCGGTCAAAGGTCTGGCTATGTGAGACTATCCAATACCTACCATCTTGTGCATTTTTTTCCTTGCCACAGCCACCTTAGTCTTGCCTATTATTATTATAGCTCAAAAAAGCTTGATTATGGTTCAAGAAGCAGAAGTGCTCAACCGTGCAAATGTCAGAAACATAAAGAGAGCTCTGCACTGTTTCTGTCTTTTCAGTGACCAAACAATTGCATAATCTTGTGCAATCTTTTCATTTTCATTTGTTAATTTTCATGCAAAGATGTTAGAGCATTGTTTATTGAACAGCTGCTTTGCTTTGTCCTATGCATTTAGATATATTTCACAATAGTAATGTGAAACATTATGGGGGAAAAAAGTTGTTTCATGTTTTTTGTCTGTTGGAGCACTGCTGTGCACATGAAGATGGCATGTGACTCATAATTATCAGTAACGGTCCAATCACGCTGAGTAAGCCACTGAGAGAGCCAGCTGGAGAGGACAAGGCAGGACACAAGTGCTCATTGACTCAGAGAGGGTGTGTGCACTGGTGCATCTGTGTCTGTCTGTGTACATACAGTGCAGGAGGTGTGATTGAAGCAGTGAGCTTCTTATGCAAATGCATGATGCTTCTTTATATGAGATATGGCACGTGTGAGAACACATTTGGTGAATATCGTGGTCCCCACCTATGCTCTTTATAACATAAATGCTCTTGTAAAAGTTAAGGTGATAGAATGAAGATCATGCTGTTTTAATTCACCCTTTGAAATTTCACAGGTTAGCGCTTCCTCATGGAGGGGTGTTTTTTTATGCAGTATAACAATCTTCATTAAGCAGCAGACCTATCTCTCATTAACAAATACCTGTGGTTGGTTGCATAAACTGCTTAGATTAGTCTTACAAGATAATAATTTTTTTAATTGGTTTTAACCTTTTAAGCGAGTTACATAAAATATAGTCTGGTCTAATTTGAATCCAAAAAGTAAGAGTGATTACCTCTTGACTAACTGCTAGTTGATCAGACTAGTTCTTTAGACACAGTTTATTCTGTCATCAATTTGTTCTAAACCTGTATGAATGTCTGTTTTCTGTTGAGAAAAAGAAGATATTCTGAAGAATGTTGGTAACCTTACAGATGAAGATAGTCATTGACTTTAATAATAAGGGGGGAAAAGTCAATGGCTACTATTAAACTGTTTGGATACCAACATTCTTCATAATATCTTCTTTTGCATTCAATAGAAGAAAGTCATACAGGTTTGGAACATGTAGAGAGTAAACGATGACAGAATTTACTTTTTTGGGTGAACAGTCCCTTTAATTTAGTGACTGAATATGCAAATCTCACTGATGTCCTTCAGTTTGATGAGGTGCGGAGAACTTAATTTTGAGTCATTGATGTAAGATGACAATGTGTGGAAATTTTTGAGGTGCTTTATCACTCTGAATTGGTGCAATTGATTATATTTCTCTAGCTGATTTATGGGTAAAGAGAGACTTTAGGAGACTCTATTACTGTAGGATGAGCAGAATAACAATTTACACCAGTGACAGTTTTGGCTCTTGTTGTGTGTTGCTTTCTTGGGCAATCAATTCAACGTCAATGTCAAAGTTAATTTGATGTCCGATTCTGACGTCAGCTGATGTTGATATTTGTTGTTTTTAGGTTGTGTAATCAAAATCCAACGTTAAGTCAATGTCAAATTGGCGTCAAATACTGACGTGAACCTGACTTTCATTCTCAACCAAAATGCAATGTCTGTCCAACATCATCCACCGTTAACCTGGCGTTATATTGATGGTGATGCTGGGGATGTATATGCACTTCATCGTTGCTGCATTTATTTGATCTAAAATACATTAAAAACACTAATATTGTGAATTATTACTACAATTTAAAATATCTGTTTTCTATTTGAATATATTTTAATATGTAATTTATTCATGTGATGGAAAAACTGAAATTTCAGCAGCCATTACTTCAGTGTCACAAGATCCTTCAGAGATCATAATAATAGGTTTTTTTGGTCCTAAAGAAACATTTCTTATTTTCAATGTTGAAAAAAGCTACTGCTCATCATCAGAAAAAAATGCTGGTTCCACACTGTACAAACACACACACATACAAACTATTGTTGTAAAGAAAACTATTAATAAAAATACCATTACCATGAGTACACAGTTCACTTAATCTCTTGATATTGGGCCACTTTGGATCATTCTGTGTCTTTGCATCTTTCTAAAGATACAGCTCACGTGCGCACGCACTCTCTCTCTTTGTCTTTCTCACGACGTACCCACTCACCACCCACCCTCAGGTGAGAAAGCCGGGCTGTAATGCATCTCTCACACACTTCTGTTTGTGTTCCCAGTCTTTAACTTCGTTTTCATTATAAACAAACAAGAACTTCGTTCAGGTGACGTTTACATCAGTTCAGGGAATGATATAACGTCTTCATTGCAAAGTTAATTGACTTTCCCTGGAGCTGCAGGAAAGTTCATTTTTGTTTTTGGCGTCTCTTCTGCGCCGAGCAAGATTGCGCATAAATCGCAGCGCGAGGTGCGCCCGGTGCTGTCGAGACTGGGCGTCAGAGCGCGGGTGATCGCCACGGGCGTGCTGGGTGTTGTCATGGTGCTGGTGCTGGTCATTCTCATCCCGGTGCTGGTCAGCGCGGCGGGATCCGACCCGCGCTACGAGATGCTCGGCGCGTGCCGCATGGTGTGCGATCCCTACGGAACGAAGTCTCCATCATCAGCACCGACAGATAACCACTTGGTCCAGTCCCCACCAACTTTCATTCGCGGTCCGAAAGGAGAGGCAGGGCGCTCGGGACGGATCGGTCAGAGGGGTCAGCCGGGTCCACCCGGACCTCCGGGTCCCCCCGGGGTCATAGGAGAACCGGGGCCACCAGGATTACCCGGTTCGCCCGGGGTCACCGGTGTCATAAGCGCGGCGACGTACAGCACCGTGCCCAAAATCGCCTTCTACGCGGGACTCAAGAAGCAACACGAGGGTTACGAGGTGCTGAAGTTTGACGATGTGGTCACTAACTTGGGCAATCACTATGACCCCTCGAGCGGTAAATTCACCTGCTCCATCCCGGGGATCTACTTTTTCGTGTATCACGTATTAATGAGAGGTGGTGACGGGACTAGCATGTGGGCTGATCTGTGCAAGAATAACCAGGTAGCTCATAAATCCAGCTGTCACAATTTATATATTCATCAATCAACAAATCAATCTATGCATCAACTGATGCATAAGAAATCTTTTTTTTTCTTATATTTTTAAATAGGCTACTTCTAAATGAAGAAATTATTTTTTTTAAATAAAACATTTCTTTAAATATTTTCTAATAATCAATACTTGTATATAATGAAAAATATTTTTAAAAAGTTAATGTGTTTTAGTATGTCTATGTCTAATGTTTTTATTATGCCAGTCTAGTTATACGCACCAACTAGACTGATTGAATATAGGAATATTACACATTTTCATAAAATTAGAATATTATCATTTATATTTATTCAATATTTAACTATTATTATAATTATCATAATTACATTATGTTTTGTTATTATACAAGTTCTGTATCATATATAATATTCTGATATTGCAAAAAACCAGCATGTCCTCTTTAGGACAATAGCACTTCAGAAATCAGAAATATTTTATTTTAAAAAATGCCCACGTTAATGGAAAAAAAACAACAACAAAATGTTGCCTTGTCTTCAGAAAATAATGCTAACTTCCATAGGGACAATTTTAAGGTGTTGTAATTAATATGGAGTCATAACTTAATGTGCAATTATTTAATGGGATTAATATAGTATTAATTGTATCTAACACAAGTTCTAATCTTTTTCTTGTAGTTGCGTGCAAGTGCAATAGCGCAGGATGCAGATCAGAACTATGACTACGCCAGCAACAGTGTGATTTTACACCTGGAGCCTGGAGATGAGATCTACATTAAACTAGATGGAGGCAAAGCGCACGGGGGAAACAACAACAAATACAGCACATTTTCAGGCTTCATGGTCTACGCCGATTAACAGCCGTGGCATGGACTGCACTTTCAGATGTACCTCATTTTGACATCACAACGTCATCAGAGGTCACAAAAAAGTTTAACCCTCAAGCTTGTGACAACTCATCCATGTCAGCGCGAAGGACAAAACAACTGAACGTCCAGAGGAATTACTGAATGATCATACATATCGAAGCATGAGAACACATCCTCTACACACAAATTAGTTTTTAGAAAAATCACTGATTTCGAAAAAAAAATCTTACAGCATAACACTGATGATTGCAGTATATTTATTGAGATTAACTGGCCGTGAAAGCAGAAAATCATTTGACATAATTCCATTCCATATGTGCCTACCTTTGATCAGAAGAGGCTGTTACAGAGCACATGCCATTAGCCCGGAAATATAGTTCAGATTACATTTCTTCAATAATTTCTCATTCTTCATACACAAATTGTCACATTCAAGCCACAGTTCTGTTCCGTTTTATATAAATGTTGTCATTTAAAAATATTATCACTGTCTGGTATGTGCAGTGTCTTCAAAAAAGTGTGAATAAAATATATTGTATGATTTGCATGCGTGTATAAATTTGCTATAAAACTAAAAGCTCTACATAGTCAACAAATGCAACTATGAAATATCCTTGACTTGATTACTTCAAGTATTGTCATCGTTTATAATATTTTGCTATTCCTTTAAAAGCACTAAACGAAATATACAACTGTAAAATGGTAGTCCTATATCTATATCTATACATTCAAAAAGCAAATCAGTTTTTCATGCTGGAGCAAAAAAAAAAAAAAAGTAAAAATGAAAGGAAATGGGCAAGATTAATTACCATGCCATCTTCTTAAAAGTAACTTACGGATGACTCGGCATGTTTTGTAATATTACCTTGCTGTTACACGGGAACAGAGCACCTGACAGTGTCATTATTTTACTAGTGTGAGCAGCCACCTGCTCCAGAGAAACTCATCTCTCTGTCCTACACAATGACCTGCCAGAACGCATGCCTTCAAATGATCAGATGCGCTGTGAAACATCAGGCTTGCCAAAGAACAAACGTGTACAGCAAGCAGTCTTACTTTAGGCATACGGTCACATTCAATCACCTTAGTTCTAATAGTCAGTCGTTGTCAAGTATGTTCAACATTATTAACTGGTTGAGATGTTTGCAGCTACACAATATCAGAAAGAAAATTTTGCAAACTATTAGAATGTGTGATTGATTAATAGATATTTTGCACGAGCTAATTAGTAAGTAATGTAGTCAGGATATTTCATCAGACCTTGTAATACACTAGTACTGTTCCACTTGTTTCCATTATCTATTGCTTAGTTGTGATCCCCTGAGCTGCATTATTAGTCTAATTAATCATATTTTCTTTGTCAACTTAAGTAAAAAGCACCTATTTTCCACAACTCAGAGCCATGCTTTTATTTTACCCACTTTTTTGTGGTGAGAGAACTTTGATCATTGAAGACTGGTGAATATTTGATATGAATATTCTAGTTAGTGTTAAACTTAACATGTGAGCTATGGGTCTCAACTTTGCCATCTTACATAAAGGTTTTTTCTTGGCATCAATCGTTCCACGAAGAAACCATTCCACTGCACGATTATTAAAATATTCTTCACACTAAAAAAAATGTTTCTTTTAAAAACTGTTCATTGAAAGGTTCTTTGGGGAACCCAGAATGGCTCTTCTATTGTGTTTCTATAAAACCCTCTCTTGAAACCTTTATTTTTAACAGTGCACATGAATTAACGCTCACCAAAGTAAGGATTTTAGCATCAAAATCAACAGTACAACAAAGTTCCTAACAATAAAAATTAGAAATCAATTTTTGGTATGTTAACTTGAGGAAGGAAATTGATTTTTAAGGCGGTTGGTTTATTTAAATGTCAGCCATTGTTTAGGATTCTCTATCAGTATTTTGTCCACCTGGTTCTGAGTGATACCTCGAGACAGCATTTTGGGAACAATATTCTTCAGGATGTGGGAGAAGCCATGACCGCCATACTTGGTCAGTCGGTGCTTGGTGTGGATATCATGGGCAATGAGGATTCTGTCTTCATAACCTTCTCTGATCAGGAAAGCCAAGCTAGTGCAACAAGACAAAATTACTCTCAATGATCTGTTGGCTTTACATAAAATGAATAGTCTCATTAAATATCTGCATTAATCAAATTGGCATGTTTATAACATATAATCATTTACTGATTTCCAGAAACAGAGGCAGATGTTTATGAACCATTTACTGTAATGTATTGGCTGCCGTTCTTGCTGGACGCAGATACTTACGTCTGAACTCTCTGGCTGTCGCTGAGCATGTCAACATCAAGGTTAAACTGGTAATTCACCACCTCTGTGCCAAAGAGGTCATATTCAAGGTAGCTCCCCATCTTTGCAAACTCCAGCAATTCTCGCGGATCATATATGCTCCTATAAGGGAGACACACATTAGAGTGATGAGTGCACTTTCAGATACAATGGTTTTTGAATAAAGACTGAAAGAGTTGTTGGAGGCTTAGCGTTTGTGATGTTGAAGTCACATGACCGTAGTGTAGTTCGTTTATAGCCTACATTTAGCTTTTTACTTCTGGCGATTGTCTTTAGGATTCAGAATACATCAAATTTGTGATGAACAAAATGTGTTCGAATGCATTATGCAGGTGTTTTCCCATGTCTCCTTACTTACCTGTCAAGATGAGACATGACTGTTTTGGAGATATCTCCACCTGCTTCTTGCAGAATGCGGATGGCCTCCCCAGGAGCGGCTTTGTTTCGTCCGGGGTGGATGATAACTGGGCAGCCCAGCTGAGTCTGAGCGTGAGCAGTGGCTCGCAGGACCTTCTTCTCACTCTCTGTGATTGGCCAGCTTGTACCGATCTCTCCAATCACACCACAGCGGATATCTGTACCGTCTGCGCCATGGAGCACTTCATTGACAATGATATCAGTTAGCTTGAGGACAAAAAGATGAGACATTTGAGAAATGCGAACAAATCATTTCCATCTGTTTCATCAACAATTTTACAATGTATACTACTGGTCAAAAGTTCATAATAATTAAGATTTGTGGTTTCTTTAAAAAGATTTTGAAGGTAGTTCTTTGAAGTTCACAAAGGCTGCATTTATTTCTTAAAAACTACAGAAAAAAACAACAATATTATTAGAATGTACAATTACTGTTTATATTTTAAAGGGGTCATATGATGCGATTTCAAGTTTTCCTTTCTCTTTGGAGTGTTACAAGCTGATTGTGCATAGATAAGATCCCTGAAGTTGCAAAGACTAAAGTCTCAAAACCAAAGAGATATTCTTCATCAAAGTTAAGACTCTGCCACACCCCCCTAAAACGGCTCGTTCTAACACGCCATAATGCCACCCAAATGTGCAAGCAAAGAAAGAAGGTGTGGTTTCAGGAACCGCAGTTAGTGTTGAACACAATGCACTGGGTCAGCTGGCCAATCAGAGCAGACTGCGCTTGTCGGAAGGAGGGACTTTGTAGAAAACGAAGCGTTTGAGAGAGGCGGGGCATAGAGGACCTACAATAATGTACAGTATTTGAAAAATAATGTGTTTTTTGAACATTAAAGCATGTCAACATATTCTGTTACACCAAATACACCAAATAATGATCTTTAAAAAAGCATCATATGACCTCTTTAATATATTTTAAAATGTAATTTATTCATGTGATGGCAAAGCTGAATTTTCAGCATCATTACTCCAGTCTTCCGTGTCATATGATCCTTCAGAAATCATTCTAATATGCTGATATGGTGCTCAAAAACATTTCTTATTATTATCAATGTTGAAAACAGTTGTGCTGCCCAATATTTTTGTGGAAACCGTGATACATTTTATTTTTCAGGATTCACTGATGAATAGCAAGTTCAAAATAACAGCATTTATTTGAAATAGAATTTTTGGTAACACTTTATTTTAAGGACCTATTCTCGCTATTAACTAGTTGCTTATTGGCATGCATATTACGAGCATATTGGCTGTTTATTAGTATTTATAAACTACATTTTAATGCCTTATTCTGCATGACCATATTTTAGATCCCTTAATCTGACCCCATACCTAAACCTAACAACTACCTTACTAATTATTAATAAGCAGCAGTTTTAGCTATTTAATATGTCTGTAGAAACAAAGAAAAACTAGCATTCCAAAGTTAGGGATAAGATAAACCAAAAAGAAATTTGTTATTTTATTCAACAATAATGCATTAAACTGATCAAAAGTGACAGTAAAAATATTTATGATGCTTCAAATGATTTCTATTTCAAATAAATTGCCATCACAGGAATAAATTACATTTTAAAACAGAAAACAGTTCTTTTTAAATTAAATTTCACAATATTACTGTTTTACTGTATTTTTCATCAAATATACTGTATGTAGCCCTGGTAAGTATAATAGACTTCTTTAAAAAAAAAAAAAAAAAAATCAAAACTTTTGACTGACAGTGTAGTTACAGCACACACACAAACCTTCTCAACGGTCATTTTTCTTGTCTCATCAGAGTGGGTCACGTCCACATAGTACCCCGCTCCAGCTATGATATGCACACCCGTCTCTTTGGCCAGCTGCCGCAAAACAGGCAGATTTCGGTTGATGCCCGTGGTGGTGTTCTCCACTATGGATCCTCCTCCTGCTTTACGGTAACACAACAGCTCTTCCTTCACCGCCTCGATCTCTTGATTCAACAGCAGGTTCTCATGGTGGCTGTACGGATTCTGCTGCAACCAGTGAAGGTGCTTCATCTCAATGGGAGCTGCGGCAAGGCCCTCGTCTCCAGGTGCTGGGGAAACATGGCTGCACTCAAACGTCATTGTAAGGTGTTCGTGGGTCATGGTGCGGCCCAGCTGATTGGGCTCTATCAGACCCAGCACCGTCTGGACCTTACCGCTCTGTTCAGGCATGGTTCTGCGATCCTGTCCAACAAATAGTTACAGTTATTAAAATAAATAGGGTTGCTAAGCACTGTTTATGTTGCACTGGCAACACAGATGTGTGCAGTCTGTGCTATTATTACAATCCATGCACACATAGTTGAAAGAATACAAATGACTTAAATGTCTTTTTTAACTTATCGCTCCATTTTTACTAAGAAAGAAATAATTGCATGCTTGAAGAAGACGAAGTGCATGCTTGGCTGCTGTAAAACTGTAGGCTGCTGTACAAATGACTCATCTTGGCTGTCCCCCACCACGCCTTGGTGGTTCGGACTTTGCGCTGATTGAAGAATACAGACTGAGTTCCAAATACGGAATGCATAAGTAAATTCACTTGCAATGCATGCAAACAAATGCATGCATTAAGATGCATGCTCGTGCCGTCGAGATTATTAACAGTTCAGTATATACAGTATATCCGCGCAACCGTATTCACATCAAACAACAAGCATATATGATTGAGATTCTGAAATTAGACACAGAACTAACGTTACAGACTGCGAGACTTCCTCAATAACAATCGTTTAAAAAGTTCGCCACAACAGGCGATAAGCATGCAATGTTACTAGCTGTTATTTTTAAATCACACAACGTGATGCAGTTAGTGACTCATAATAAACAATAAAGGATACCGTGAGAAACAAGACCTGCAAGCAAGTTCAACTTCCAATTTGCAGCACTGAGCGGAGCAACAATGCCTCGCGATTTTATGTGTTTATCGCGAGACTTTATGTTACCTCTACCTCTACAGTTAAACACAGTGTTCAAAGCGAAATAATGAAACTAATAAACAATAAAATATTTACGAACGAATGCAGTACCTCTAATTCGAAGATGTGGATACATTTAGATAGTTCGCCTGTTTTTAAACTTTGAGTCGCTTTTGCCACGCCCCTTTCTGTTCACTGACGTCTATGAGAGGTGAACTTTATTATGTAAGGACTCTTTGTGGAAATCGGGATTTGGAAAATACACCCTCACTCAAGTGAGTGCCCTAAGCAAATAAAGCCTGTTATTATGAAACAGGACATTTGGAAACTATGAAGCCGAAAATCCAGTACTATTTTTGTGATAGGTTATAGCCTATGAAATGTTTCAACAATAATTGCTGTGTTTGTTTCCATGGGAGTCCATGGTGGAAAAAACAGCTTTAACTTGCTTAGACCAGCATATCAGGTTTAACATTTTCCTGCAGATGCATTATAAGAAAATGAATTTAGCATGTTTAACTATTAATTATTTCATTTATTTATTGAATTAATTTATTGTGCTTGTGTCTGTTAATTATTTATATGCCCTGCTGCTATTTTTACAGCCTAATGAAAACTGTTTGCCAGATGTACATGAGGGATATCATAAATCTTGGTAAATTGTATTCTTAGATTAGATTAGAATCACATCAACTGACTAAAGCAAATACTTTGCATATTGAGAAAGCAATTTGTATGCAACAAAGTGAACATATAAGCTCGATCTAACCATTGAGCCATGATTTTAAAGTGGCATGTTGAGCCGTGATACATTTTCCCTGGGCACGTCTGATCTAACTAATAGTGACAAGTCCTGGGGAGTTATCTGACCAGGGATTCGTGTACAAAATTAGTCCTGAGAGAGAGCAGGAAAGACTATTAAGTATCAACCCACTGCAAACTGCCAAACAGCGGTGAGCATCCCATGTCAGTTTCAATTCATCCCCTATGAAATATAAAAAGCCTGCACTCACTGTTAGTAAAGATAGCTGTTTAGTAGAATCAGTATTCTGATTTTCCTAATCTTGACTTGGCTTGTTATTAGTCCTGTTCAGCTTTTTTCTTATATCTTTTATAATCCATTAGCATTGACAGCAATTCGCTGTGTATGATGAGATGACCTCCACAGACATTGTTGTCAATATTGTTTCTGACAGTGCAGCCACAGAAAATAATAAAAAGGCCCATCAGAGACTACAAGATCCATATGTCTATACATGGAATGAAGGTATGATATCTCATTAGAGTTTGCAGGGGTATAATATGTTTGAAGATGTGTGTCAGCTAACTAATGGCCCAGAAGAGTCAATGGCCCTTATGTGAATAAATTCAGATATGTTTGATGATGTTTTTATGCAAACTACTTCTCCTCTGCAGAATTGCAGGGATGCTGGAGACAGTCCCAGCTCCTGGAAAACACCCTAGACAGATGACCAGTCAATCACACTCAATTATATATTACACTGAACAAAATTATAAACACTTTTGTTTTTGCCCCCATTTTTCATGAGCTGAACTCAAAGATCTAAGACTTTTTCTATGTACACAAAAGGCCTATTTCTCTCAAATATTGTTCACAAATCTGTCTAAATCTGTGTGGAGCTGAACTCTGCAGGACTGCGGCTCTCTAGGACCGAACTTGCCTACCCCTGAGCTTTGCCAAAACATCTTACAAGAAAAACTATTTTTTATTCTTTGCATTTTAATCCATGTTGCCTACAGTAACAAATACAACAGGCACTGTCATAATAATATTTAGACAGTATTTATGAACAACCTTATTGTTATGGAAGGAGAGTCACACAGAGGATTAGAATGAAACGGATGACTTTTATTGAAGGCAACAGAGGCAATTGGGAGAAATGGCAGAAATGGTTCAATGAAGAAGAAGTTCACGGTACTGATGAGGAATGTAATGAAAGTCTTGTTCTTACAGGAGATCGCGGATGAGACGGATGGAGGACAGATGACAGCACACACCTCAGTATAACCGTTTAGGGTAATATCCACACGGAGACTTGGGAGGAGACACACGCTGGAGTGGAGCACTGGAGAAGGCACAGGAGGTAAGTACACAAAGGAGGTAGGAGTATCGATGTTCAGCTGTAGTAGCGTAGAGAGAGTCCACTTCGAATGAACGAGACCGGACTGAAGAAAATTGTAAGGAATATTGGGCTGGTTTGGCTATTGCTACCGGAATGATGAGTCCATTAAAACTCATTCAGTCATCAATCTCATGTTTCCAGTTTATTTTCTCAACATGTAGGAGTAGACATTTCCATGGCAACACGTGCTGGTAATTGTTGGTTTCTGATAACCCAAAAGGAAATTAGTAAATAACAATTAGTATATACAAACATATTAGCACAAATCATACATGAAGTCTAAATCAACTTCAACAAATCCAATGAAGATCAAAGAAACTAAATACTTCAATATAAACAAATCACATTACACATAAATCAAAGGAACTTACATTGTCAACAACACAACAATTCCACACAGCCCATGTATGAGTAGAGAGACAGCTTCTCACACACACAAACACATTGAGACTGAGGCTTGATTAGTAAGAGGCCACAGGTGTTCTTATCAGGACTCAGTCAACCAATCAGATCACAGCAGTATGTTAACATATTTGTATAAAAGAAAATGTATACTACTGTACTATCACCATCATCAGTCAATTCAGGAAGAACAATTAGATGGCTGACTGGACGAATTAAATGCTTCCCTTCACTGAGAATTTCAGCAGCTCTCATTCTCCCATTAGAACTTGATAAAGTCTTGCTGACAGTCCCTACAGGCCAGCGTCCACGAGGAAGCTGTGGGTCCACAATCATGACCTTGGTAGAAGGCGCAATAGGATTACCATCAAGTTTCCACTTTTGACGAATCTGAAGATTTGGAAAATAATCCTTAATGAAACTGACCCAGAATCGATCCGCAAGAAATTGACTGTGTCTCCACTTTCTACAGGTAAGTAGCTCTGAATCTGCATACATCACTTGTGGGAGAGATGCATCTCGCCGCCCCATCAGTAGGATATTTGGGGTAATGGGATCAAGGTCTGAAATATTCAAAGACACATAGCCGAGAGGTTTTGAGTTTAACAACTCCTCAATTTCAAAAAGCACTGTATACAGAACTTCCTCTGAGACGACTTGTGTTCCCAGAACTATTTGCTGTCTTAACAGACCGTGTCTCTCTTTCCCAAGTACCTCAAAAATGGGGGGAGTATGGTGGATTGAAGGAGAATTTAATTTGTTGGAGGGCAAGCATCTCCTGAAAAGAGGGACTAAGTTGAGAAAATGCTTTCCGAAGTTCTCTTTCTCCTCCCTTGAAATTAGTCCCTTGATCAGACAATATTTCATAGGGCCGATCTCTACAAACTACAAATCTTCGAAAGGCCAGAAGGAAACTATCTGTATCCATACCAGAAAGTAGTTTCAAATGAATACACTGTGTTGTCTGGCATTTAAATATAATGCCTCACCTTTTCTCATGTCGGCGACCTACTTTGATGCTTAAAGCCCCAAAACAATCCATACCCGTCGATCAAAAGGAAGGCTTATACAATCGAAGTCTGGAAACTGGTAGATCAGCCATTCTGGGGACTGAAGGCATACCTTTCCACTTTTTACACTCAAGACATGACCTCTGAATTTTCTTTATTAACTGTTGCCCTCTCAGAACCCAGTATTTCCGACGAAGCTGGGTGAACACTCTTTGTGGTCCTGGATGACACAAAATTTAATCAAAGTCAGCAACCAAAAGTTTGGTAACATGATTCTTCGGGTCTAAGACAATTGGATAAATAGCTTCAGAATCCAAATCTTCACTTTGACGGAGTCGTCCACCCACTCTTATCAGCTCTATCACTGGATCATACTCAGGTGCCAAGTAAACTAAAGGGCTGTGTCTGGGAACTTCATGACCATCTTTAAGCAGTTTATATTCCATCTGGGCTTGACGCAGAAGATGCAATTCTGCTTGCATTTGATAAGGTTTGGTGTCATCTCCAGAAGCCAAAGAGAGGGTTTCAACTGTCGCTGCAATCAACTCTGACCAGGTATTAAATTGAAGCAAATCAGAACTTGGAAAGTTTGCTGGTGCCTGATTAAATCCAAAGAACAAAGGTTTTCTGAGTTCAGTACCAACCTCATCGGGACTTGAAGCTGGAAATTTTGGCCATTGCTGAGAATTCAAGTATAAAAAGGTAGGTCCTTGAAACCAAGAACTTGTAGCAGACAATTCAGAAAGCCTCTAGCCTCGAGTGATGTCATCTGTTGAATTGCTTACAGTGTCAACATATCTCCATTAATCCGGTCTAGTATATTCAAGAATCTCTGTAATGCGATTTGCCACAAAGATCTTGTACCGGCAGGATTCAGACTGGATCCAGGTCAACACAGTTGTAGAATCAGACCATAGTGTCACTGTTTCAATAGCCAAGGTGAGTTCCTGCTGCAACAAGTTTGCTAGCTGAGCCCCGGTCAGAGTGACACACAATTCTAAATGAGGAATAGAAATTGTCTTCTTTGGTGCTACCCTTGAGCGAGCCATAACAAGAGAAACAGAAATCTCACCATCTCCATTAATCAGTCGCATGTAGGCAACTGAGCCATGTGCCTTTTCGGATGTGTCACCGAATATGTGAAGCTCTCTGCTGACTGGATCTTCCCAGTTCTTTCTTGGACCATACCATCGAGGTACTTGGATTTTAACCAGATCTGGTAACTCTCCTTCCCAATCAATCCAGGTGGCCTTGATTCCTTCTGGGATATCTGGATCATCCCATTCTCTTGTAGGCTTCGTCCATAACTGTTGCAAAAGAACTTTAGCATGTGTCGGGAAAGGAATGATAAAACCCAGTGGATCATACTGACGAACGAGTGTTCGATATAGAACACGTAATGTTAGAACAGCATACCCCACTGGACGATGCTTATAGCTCAAGGTATCCTGCAAACAGTGCCAACTTAATCCAA